ATATTCTTTTCATAGACCCACCACCTGTGTCTTCCTCGATCTGAAAGTGGCCTTCGACTCAGTTGTGCGCTTCAAACTATGGCGCTGCCTTTCCTTGAAGGATATGCCCGAAGTTTATTTCAACATTACCATCCCTTTACACAAATAGCTTGGAAGTTTTCTGGTGATTATTGGTGCGCAAACTGTGACCGATGAACACTAACGTTTGGTAACCAGTTTATTATATCAGAAAAAGGTCATGGAACTTAAGCAAGTAAACCCCTGAGACAAAAACTTATAGACTGGTCAAACATTTTGAAGTGAAAAATTGACTATTAGGTACTCCTGGTGTTAAATTAAGGCAAACTTGGATTGGGCGAATGGGTAGCTCAGGACAGTTCCAAAAGGCTGTCATTAACTTTCCTGGCACTAAACACTGTTAAAATTCTGGTGTTTTTTCATTTTCATCTAATGAAAATGCATGACACCTAAAAGATTTCTAAATCAGTATAAAAGTTTGAAAATAATTGAGAAAGTGGAAATCACAAAATCAAAATCGAAATAAGCAACCAAACTGGACCCTAATATAAGTCGTTTGCGATAAAAAAACGACATCTTGAAGAGGCTCCGGACTGAAGATTGCCTGGGGCTAATGAGAAAACTGCACACGAAACTATGATTGTTTAACTGTCTGTGTGTAGTGTACTGCTGGAGTCTGACGCAATAGCTCAGCTGCTCGCTCAGGCAGTACGTCTCGTTGTGCTTCGGCAAGCAGTTCAAAACCGGACATGAATTTCCGCACTGTGGCTGATCGGAGAAGCGGCGGCTGAAACAGTGCATGCAATTGCCAGTGTGCCTGTTCCCGATAACTTGACGCGGAGCACCACAAATCGGTGGCCACATTGTTCATGGGGGCCTGGTACCAACCCATTGAATAGGGGAATTCCGTTTGGAACAAATTATCGTACCGGATAAGCAGCTCACGCGTTATATATGTCAGACTGTCCTGCTCGGTAGATGTGAGTTCGTCTAACCAACGAATATGACGATTCCGGGGTAAGATCATCGTCTCGAATGGCCAACAAGCCCACCAAGGTACCAATACTAACCAGTGCTCGTTTTGAAGTACAATACGGCAATCAGAATGACCCAACTTTTCCTCTTCTTGATGAGCATAGTCCACTAGGAGAGGAATTTGATGTTCCTTAAAGTATGCCCACTGGTTTTGATCATAGCGACTCGCCAAGGAGGGGAGAAATCCACATTCCCAGATCTGTTATTACAGAGATAAAGAGAGAGGGAAAATATTTGCATTATACCAAATATACCCCAGGTAATCTAAGTGCGTTGCGGCAAAACTTTTGCGAAAGCCAGGCTAAACTTCTTTGGGTTCGGAAAAATTGAAAATAATTTCGTTTCCATTCTATTTCCCGCTGAAAGCAATTGTATTCCGTATTGTTTATGTTTGACATTATTTCTTCTGGTCAAAACTTTTTAAGTTTATCTTAGAACGCTTTATTTTTTCATCCGTCACCTGACGGCAAGTTGTTACTCCCCCCTCCGGATCCCATCTGGTCACTCGCAGACATGAAACTCGGATCCCCGAAGATCGCTTCCTCGACTGAAATTCACAGTTCTACTCTACCATAATGTCGCGAGAACTCTACTCTTTTTCTACGATTACTAACATACAAATGATTTTTGTTGTTTGCTTCTGGCATAGTACAAATCTATCAGTCAGACTGATGTAGCAGCGAGTCGAACCCACGGTTTTTAATTCTCCATTCACTCTTAAATGATCTTTGACTTTTCCCTGCTATCATCGCCATCATCGATGCATCGCCTGAGAGCGGATAGGTCCAGCGGATGAACTTGTGCAAAGAATTTTAGTCGCGCTTGGCTAAGCATTTTTTCCATAAGCGGAATGTTCAGGTGTGTTAAAGAATAATGATCCCTGACCACGAAGCGAGCAACACAGGAAATGTTTTACAGGTACAAAATTTTAAAACAAAAAGGAAGAATCACATTTTAGCAGGATAACTTGAGTTCTTTCGGGAACCCTCAGTAGGTTTTTTTTACTAGACATAATAGAGCGGTGATGGCCCGGTGGTAACGTCACCCCGGAGGACGAGTGTTCGAAACCCACCACCACTGCCTAACTTTCCCCATTTGTGTGTTGTATGGTAGCCCTTTGATTGGTCGCTTCCCCCTTCCTGAAAATTGTATCTTTGTTTATTCAATAAAAGGAAGTAAAATGAAAAAGAAAAAAGAAGAAAAGAGCAAACTACATAGCAAAAAAGAATTACTACTAGGTTACGAGTACCGACAACCTAAACCTTGGGTTCAAGGCAGCGAACTACACAAAACCTCTTTGGGGTGGGCGAGGTAGCAAGTCAGACAACGGCAAAACTGCCTACCACCAAAGGTGAGGGAAATGCTATGACAGAACTCGGACCTCAGAATTATGAGCTTGGAGAAGGCAGTGACAGCAACTTGAACTGCTTGATCATTGCCACTCAAATACGTACGCGGGAAATTTGTGTCGGATTTCAGGAGAATGCTTAGTGATTTATCTGTTTCATTGTAGCATTCTTACCAACCAGTGCTAGGTGTTTGCGGCGTCGAAGGACTTCAATGAAGCTCCGGGATTTCGAGGAATTTGGTAGTTGAAAGCTGCTACTGTTTTCCATGTTGTGATATCTTTCATGAGGCGTTCTGATACCTCCCTTGGTTTTCGAGAACCCGAATGATCCACCATCCATCAGCCTTTTATCAAAAAAGCTTCTTAGTTAGAACAGCAATTAGAAACTGAGCTGCAGACATTTTACATGCGGGGGAGCATGGTTACTAAGCATGCTGCTTTCGTTCGACTGCATTGATGTGACAAACCACATGCTAACTGCACATTGTGTTAGTTTAGGCTTGTTTTCCGCAAGTTCTGTTGTATATCTGAGACTTGAATTCCATGTACAATGTGTGAGTTACCAATGCAGCGACTTTGTTGAGGTTATGAAAACTCACGTCACGAATTCACCGCATATGAGCAAAATTTATCACTTTGTTGGGGTATATAATGTTCGATTCATGAAAATGCGTCACGAATTTGGACTGAGTCTTTATTGAAGAAGTATACTGGTGTCCGCGGTGTCTCATTTCGACATAAACACTGTTCATGTTTGTTTACATTTAGTCCGGGTAAAGCCAGAGGATGTTAAGAAAACTGGTGGATAAATTCTTTTTCTTGTTTTCTTCTTGCAAACGTGCAACGCATCGCTTTGGCATGCTTCAGACCAGTGATTCACAAGTCCGTCGACTTATATTACTTTATTTTTCTCGGACACAAAATCATCGAGTTCAAACCCCTGTACCGAATTGTGCATACTTTGACAGACCACTTGCAACACAAATTAAACAGCATGAAGTGGGTTACAATTTAGGCCACACCCATGATAGCTAGAAACGAAGTAGTACGCGCGCACTGAAACGCACATAATGATGCATCAAAAAATTGAATAAAATTATTACCGTTGGAGTATCATTATTATTTCTATACTTCAGACTTGCTTGGGTGTAGACTGCTCGCCAAACAATCCACGGAACAATAACCTGTATAACAAAGAATTCAGTCTGTGACTTTATAAGTTACCCGGAGATTCACAACCGGTGCTTTCGGTTATCCAAAGATTGAACTGCAAGGCGATGAGGTAGTGTGTAAAAATCGCAGTCCATTAGGGGCCTATGTCCAGACCAATGAAGCCAGTGACCACTTCAATAACCGGAAAGATGTGGGTGTGGTTAGTATATCCTTGCTTCATTGATTTGTTGTTATGCAACCACCTCCCCACCCCCCCACCCCAGTGATGCACTGACATGGTTATAGTCTTGAATGCTGGTTTTTCAACTTCTCACTTCAGTGGGAAAACATCACCACCTGAAGGCAGTGGGTAGGGCTTCCTCCGCGGGTGATTTGAGACGCTCAGTTGCATGGGAGCATATCGCGGTGTGAACACATGGGTACCGGTTACAACCCGACACCTACCCCGGATCACACCAAGGCATTTGGAGAAGCCAATTTCGTACTCAAGAGTGCACAAGCTTAGGGATGGAAAATCATGCCTCAGATTACAGGCAAAGACCCATGATTTTTTCCCATAGAAAAGTGCGCTCAACCGTTTCTTAGATCATCACACGGCTTCCCATCCTCAACGCATTTCATGGTAAGAAATTATTAGTCTTGGATAACTGCCCGCCATCTGTATACTCCTGTCTGAATCCGTTATGCGCGGCAGAATGAATGCTTGCATGCTGACGCTCAATGTTAGTCCATTTTTCAAGTTCAAGGATAACCCTGTGCGCAGAACGAGTCAGCACTTCAGTGTCATTCGAAATTTATTCCTGCTTGCCACAAGAGATACTAAACAGTGGACTAACGCATCTACTAAACAACAGCTGGACATGAAAAGTTTCATACACCCTCCCGTCTGACACATTTCAATTTCATTCGGGTTTTCACTATGGGAACCGTTTCCGGGTGCGACCATACGAAATCAATTGCAATCCAAAAATTCGCCCATTGAGATGAATGACCGAAACTGGGAAAATTTAGTGACAAAAATTTTACACTCCATGTTTCCGTTTAGTTAGGTAGATATTACGAAGTGCCACGGTCACTCCCTCGTAAAAAACCAAACTTCATCACCGCCTAAAACCCTCATAACGAGTACGTGGAGTACTTTCGGCCAATGGTATTTTATGCTCAATTTGAAGCATGGCAGAGGTCATCGATGAAATGAAAGACAGAACCGATCACAGCATTACTCTCCGGAACGGAAATCCGTCGCGTGAGAGCTGTCGAATTCATTTGTTCACGTCCCTGACCCCATCCTGAAGCAATTAACCAACAAACAGAAACTGAAAAACTAAATGGAATAAATATATCAAAAATAAGTATGGAGTAAACTTTGCACCCTGAAATATTTCCACTCTTTTTGTCGACTTATTCTCCCTCTTCACGTTCAGCTGTCCATCTCAGTTGTCTTTAATTCTATCGTGTATAGCATTGATATCGTGCCTGTTTCAACACAGTGGTAAGATTATTTAATAATAAACTACTTATTCACGCGCCAATAATAAAACATGACTTGCACGGCTGAGGCATTATCTAATTGTTGTTGAGGTATAAGTTTCGCAGCGGTGGCTGACCGGTATAAAGGAAAACAATGTTGAGCCGGGGATCTTGTGACTGAATCGCATCGCAGTTGCCTAAAGTTCCCGAGTTTGTGTATTCGCTGAAAGATTTTGGTTGGTTGCAGCATCCTTCTTGAAAATCGATAACACGATCGTCTATTTAAGAAAACGAAGTACGAACTTCTTACTAGCAGCAATATCAGTGCCATGTGAGTAGAATCGGTAACAACTTGTGTTCATTTCGATAACGCATCCGCGAAATGAGTGGCCAAAATTGCATCGCAAACCCACAGCAAATCGACAGATGATCCCAAAATCAACAGACTGTTTCATTTTTCATCCCATCAACAGTTTCAAGTGAGTCGTTGCATGCAAGCTTTCACAACTACAAACTGAGCTAATACATGTCGTGGCCTTGCATTCTGCGACCCAAAGTGAAAGCGATCGGTTCAACAAATGAACCATTCATCGCCAGACAACACATCGAAATTTCCCCAAGGTCTACTGATGGATCTTTCAAATAGAACCGAACTCGCAGTTCGAAACGAGTTGTGTTGATCCATGAATCCGTCGGTGTGGAGACATGTAGACGAAGTAAACCACGTGGGGCTGTTTCTTGAGTTGTAATGACCACCAAAGCCGTTGGGCTCAAAGGATCGCCAGCATTTGTGAAGAGTGGACGGAATAATTGTGGTCAGCATTCCCGTTCCGCAAACAGCAACGCCAGTATTGTTCATCGCAAAAAGGTAAATGCACCAGATATTAACTGATGTGATGTGAATCCTGAGTGAGGAATATTAGCATCGTCGATCACATACGGATCGAAGGCCTTCTACGTTTTATTCATCTGCCACACAAAATCGAGTTCGCGAGCATTACCAGCATGTAAGTTCCCACGCCATTATTCAGTTAAAAAAAGCTAATGAACATTTCAGACACATGAAATAGTACTGGGTACATCAATAATTGATGGTAGAGCAATTTACTCTGTCCTGAATATATATACACTGATAGACACCAAATGACGAATTTCAAACTCGTGCGTGAAACAAACAATACATCATGCACCGTGTAACATATGGGTTA